AAATCTTGGCTGGGCTGAAGTCAAGATATATTACAAAAACTTAAGTTGGATTTTATCTTACGTGTTTGAGGAGGTGGTTTGTAATCCACAGAAGCTCATGCTGAAATCTGTTTGTTTTAAATGTGCCACAAAACCTTTTTGGTGCTCAAACAGACTAACATGTTCCCTTAGAAAATTCCTGATTTGAAATCATCTTAATGAACCAATCATGGTAAAATAGAGTTGCAGAATCTTTTGCTTCTGAAACCTCAAACCTATACTCAGTTGATAACTAGAAAATCTTACAGTAGAAGAACTTGCTAACTAGAGAATCTTACAGTACAGAGATTATATTTATTCCTGCTGTTCCAAACACTGGAATTTTTTTCTGCTAATCCACACTGCCAGCATAACTGCTCCAAAATCTTTTTTTTTTTTTTTTTTTTTTTTTTTTTTTTTTTTTAGCAAAGGCATTGATTCAGGTGAAAACCCCTGATATGAGTAGTGGGTAGCAATTGTTAATATTCTTGTGTGCTGATAACTAGAGATGGGAGTATTCGTATACGAATAAGAATATCCCCGCGCAGGTGGCGTTAACAAGGGTCCAGCCCCATGGGGCCGGACAGTCCACTCACCGATCTGATGCAGACAGTGTGATTCTATGAATGGCTCTGCAGCGCGTGATCCACTTGCCACTCTTCGACCTTGTAACGAGGCTTGTCCTCCCACCTTCTGCCAGAAGTGGCGAGCGGACCACGCACTGCTGAGCCATTGGTAGAATCGCGCCGTCCGCGTCAGATCGGTGAGTGGACCATCCCAGAGCCCATGGATCTGGGCCCTTGTTAATGCCATCTGTGAGGGGTTATTCGTATACGAATACCCCCATCTCTACTGATAACCCTTACACCGTGGCCTTTGCTATTAGTTGTTCCAGCAATATCCAGCATTACCGTTTGATCACATTTTATTCATGTTTAAATGATCATTTCTAGCTGATCTGAGGCAGTTCCCACTCAGCCCTGGAAGTGAAAATGGTACATGGTCCAACAAGTATAGTACAATGTAGATTGAGCACGAGGTTTAATGTGTACATTGTGCAAAGTATAGAAATATGCATCATGTCTATGAGTTGGGGGGAACACAACAGAATGAACCCCGTCTAGAGCACAAGGGGCAGCTTCTGACTTTTAAAAGCGGTATATATTTGTACTTTTGTCTGTTCTTGAGTAATTCCAGAAAACATAAAATGCACCAAGGGTCAAGACCAACATATTGACATGGACTGATGTTTCAATTTTTCCTGTCTTGTGTTCTGCTTTAGGATGGTACCCACTTCAGTGGAGCGGCTCAGAGAAGGCCGTGGGATTTTGGAGAAGGTTTTGCGCAGCAGTGCAAAAATATGCCAGAGGGGAGATCCCTCACCAACTCGGGACAGCATAGGCGAAAGAGAATCAGGTAAAGGAGCCCCAGGTATGGCAGATGAACATGGTCAGAGCAACCCCTGTCTTTGACGCACTTTGGACTTGTTCTTACTAGACAGGTGTGATCTTCTACAATATATTCTGAACAATAAATCTGTCTGTTAGTCTTTGTCCTCTGAATAATTTCTGCAAGGCCTTGCAGTTCTCTGCATATTACTAGGTCTTACACCACAGGTTAGGCAGCCATCTGTTGGAAACCTTTTCGTTCTGGATTTCTTGTTTTAAGCCAAGGATTGGGCAAAATGATCTGGAAAGCTGCTTGCTCCTCTGAGCTCATTTTCCAGATCTAGAGAATTTATCTGATTGATGGTTGTAGTTTTGTTTTTGTTTTGCTGGTCTGTTTATTTTAGAATGTGGCTATTCTGAGGGCCTTCTATCTCCATTCCAGCTCTGGATCAGGGCTTGTTCAGGTATTTGCCAATTCTTAAACCTAGCCTGCCTGTGCTCTGATTTCTAGATGGTGTGGAAGGAGACTTGCCAGATCCCCTCAGCTCTTCCCTCAAGGGACCAGCTACAGTTTACAGTCCTTCTCGATACAGCTACCAGGTATGTGAGGAAACATCCTTATTACGTGGTGGGGGTCTGCATACTTTAACTCTCTGGCTCTGAGAGGCTCTAAGCTTTTTTAGATGGGGATGTAAGATGGCTGGGTGGGGCTCTAAACATGTGGCCTGGATTGTGTGATTATGTCTGATCCTTCCCTTTCAGCTCTTGCAGTCTGACAGCCCTCGGGCCGAATCGCAGGGCCTCCTTCAGAGCTCCTCCCCCTACCGAGGACACCCTATCCCCTCGCCCGGATACAGCTACCGGTCTCAGCCCCAGAAAACAGGGCATCTTCCACCTCTCAGTTCTTCGGAACCCTCCCTCTCTTCTGCTTCCTCCTCCATCTCCACGGACTCCTCGGCTCTGTTTGCAGGGAATTCTGGATACTATGGGAATAGCCAGCAGCAGCATCCTGGCCCTGGTGTTCTGAAGAAGGGCTGTCCCCAGGCCGCTGTCCCCAGCCCTGCCCAGACAGGAGCTCCAGACTCTTTGTCCTCGTCTGAATCAGGGTCATATCCCTGCGTGGGAACTGCTGGCTGCACTCCTACTTCTTCCTCCGCCTCCTCCTCCTCTTCCTCCGCCTCCTCCTCCTCGTCATCTTCGTTATCATCATGTCGACCCTCTCAGTCAGACTTGCGGACTATTAACCCTCCGGCCTCCGCCCCCATTGCTCTTTACCCAAGCTCCAGAGCCGCAGCACTTTCCAACTCGCAGCACTACTCGCACCGAGGAGGGGCAGCAGGAGGAGGAGGAGGAGGCAGCATCCACCAGTACCGACTGCAGCAACTTCCAGGGTCAGGCGTCAAGACTCAGACAGGCCTTTCCTAGGGTCGAGGCAGGATAGCCCTCCTGCTCCTTTTGGCAACAGCTCTCATAGGGGAGGGATCCTGGGCTGGCAAAGGGCCAGAGACTGAGGCTCTGGGATATATGAGCAAGAGAACACTGCCAGCGAACCGGCCACCCCTGGCTTTGGAAAAGAGAAGGCCGCTGTGGCAGAGTCTGTAGCAAAGCATCTCCCTGATGCCTGGGTACGTTGTAGAATGCCAATGGTGCTGAGCGGCATGGCCTGGGTCGCCTAACTGAGCCCTTAGCTGTAGTCTCTGGGCAGGTCGGGGGAGCTTGAATATGAAACCAGTGCAAATCAGAAGAAAAGAAAACAAAAGCAGGGGGAGGGGAGGTAGGGGAGGGGGGCGTTGATTGAAATCCCAAAGTGCTCTCTGCAGGGTTGGGTTCCCAGAATGTGCTGGGGTTGGGGAGGGTGGGAAGTATAATCCATTCTGATCATTCCAGTTTCCAGCAAGAGCATATTTGGTGTTCAGGCTGTGTGCAGAGAGTCATAGGATGCAGGGCTGGTAGCAGTGGGAGTGCATGCATGTGTATGTGTGTGTGAGAGAGAGAGTGTGAGTGTGAGGGGCAGGGGGAGAGAAGGCAAGGCAGGGTAAACCTGTGTTTCTTGCAGACCATCGCTATCCATCAGTACCAGGTCACTGGAAGGGGCCTTTTGCAAGCAGTAGGCCATGCCTGCCAAAGCAGCCGTGATGGTGCTATTTGAGAGGGCAGTGCTGTGGCAGGGGAAGCAGGGTAGTTTGTCAGAGGGAACAGCTTCATTGCTGTGCCTCTCGGAGCCTGTTCAGCCCACCTCTGGATGGTGGTGAGAGAAGTGCCCATTCCGGTGCTATTGGTACTGCTGCTGCTCCTGTTGTCAAAAAAAAAAAAAAAATCCATCGCAGAGTGCCTGGGAGAGGTGACTGCTACCATCCTCTGAGGTCCAAGAGCAGCAGGTGCTCTAGCCACTTCCACAGAATTAACAGCTTTTCTCACTTGTTTACTATCAAGCGTGTGTTATTATTTATCTAATTTTATATTCAGTTATAACCATAGTAGGCTAGCAAAATATCAGGCAGGTCTAACCCCCCCCCCGGTGCTGCCATGGACCTTCTCCTTTCATCTTGGACAAGATAATGCTGTGAGCATGTCTTCCCTCCTATCTCAGATGCACAGTCTCTATTTTTGTTTCTCTTTTGTTTTTGGTTTTGTTTTTAATTAGGACTGTTACAAAGTTTCTCTAACTCACTGAAATCAGGTGTTCTTTCAACTTAGGGGAGACTTTTAAAATTATCAAAGCAGAGAAGAAGAAGAAGAAAACCCTTTCATCAAACGTGTCTGGCTGTGAGCGTGTTGGGGATGGAACTTGTCACCCGGCGTGCGGGTGTCCCTCTATACTGTATAAAAAGGGTGTCAACTTCACTGGGCTTTGCAGCCTCCCTTCCTGTCATGCTGAGCATGCCTTGTCGGGTGAGCAATGCAAGAGAGGAGGACCGTGGAGAAGAACTGGCGGGGATGAAGGACTTTCCTGCATCTGCTGGGTGCCGGGAAGCCATCAGAAAACCATGGGGAGGGGGGCTGCAGTGCTGCCCTCAAATGGAGTTGTACACTGTGCTGTAACATTTGAACTTTCACAAGAGATGTAATAATTTTGATAATAAAATACTTAACTTGAAAATCACTGTACATCCCTCGTTTTTCTTTGTTCCGGGATGAAGTGAAGTTTTGTTTCACATGGAAGGAAAAAAAGGGACTTTGGGATCTTGCTGTACAGCAAAATCCAAGGTCCAAGATTCCAGCCCTCACTGGAGGCACTCTTCTTATAGTTGTATGTGTTAAAATCTCTAAGGCTCACTCGAAGGGAAGTTGAAGAGGCTTCCAGGAGCAAAGGGAAGGATTTTAGCACACCTCCTGTCTGGTACTTAATACTAATTAATGAATGGCCCACAAATTCTGCTGATTCCACTTCTGTACTGTTCTGCTTTGCAAGCAAGGCAGATGCTATGCTCCTGAGCTGTACTCTGTGTGTAACTGTGGGTGCTGACTTGCCTACCTATATGTGTACGTGTTTTGCCCCCAGTGCTTTCTTCTTCATGGCCTCTGTGAATGCATACAAATGGGTTTTACTGCGCCTGCACAGGACTCTACTTTTGTTCTTCAGACTCTGGCAGACCTTGGCCTGCAAGTCAATTAAAAAAAATCTCATCTCAAGCCATCGCAGATTACCAGACTCTGGCAGACCTTGGCCTGCAAGTCTATTACAAAAAATCTCATCTCAAGCCATCGCAGACCATGGATTACATTGGGGCGCATCATGATTCCATCGCAGCCAGGGTATTTCCCCCTTCAGAAAGAATACTCAGGTTAAGGCGAGCCATTCACCCCTTTCAGCATTGCACCACAGTCACCATTTACGATATGCAGCACCTGCTAGGTCTGATGGCTTCAACTACGTCTGTGCTCCAATATGCACAACTGAAGATCCAGTCCTTACAGACTTGGTACCTGTCCCAGTTCGACCTTTTGCTAGATCATCCTTTCAAGCATCTACTGGTGACCCCGGAGTGAGCTTGCCAACTTACCTGGTGGACCTTTGTCCCTCATCTCCTGGTGGGCCACCCATTCAGACATATCCAGCTGACAATATAGGTCACAACAGATGCCAGTTAGATAGGATGGGGTGCGCACTGCGGTCATCATGAGATCCACGCCTTGTGGTCAGGCTCAGAGAAACTGGTGCACATCAATTACCTAGAGTTGCTAGCAGTCATCAAATCCTTCCAAGCTTTCCAATTTCTCATAGCTGGTCGCAGCGTCCAGGTCATCACGGCCAGTATGACCACCCTGTATTACATCAACAAACAGGGTGGCACCCATTCTTTGAATCTTCTATATTTAGCGATTCAGCTGTGGGAATGGTGTTACAATCACCATGTCTTTCCTGTGGCTCTTCATGTAGCTACAGAAAAGAATGAGGTTGCAGACCATTTGAGCTGTCTTTCCACCCAAATCCACAATGGACCCTCAATGCCGCCGTTTTTTCTCATCTCTGCAGTCGGTGGGGAACACCAGGTCTCAAGGTCTTCACCACTCAGGTCAACTCCAAATGCAGTTAAGTACAGCTCTCGGGGAAGAAGAGGAGAGAACTCATTGGCAATGCTTTCATGGTGGACTGGGGCGACAGCCTTCTTTATCTCTTTCTGCCCGTTCCTCTCATCCAGCAAACGGTAGGCTCTGTCAGCTGAGCCTCAATGCCATTCTAGTAGCACCATGGTGGCCTCTACAACCGTAGTTCACCACTCTCAGAACCATAGCTACCAACTTCCTCAGATTACCTCTTCAACCATCCCTTCTGACTCAGGACGAAGGCCGAATTTGTCATCCCGACCTTGACTCCCTACACCTTACAGCATTGTATTATGTCCTGATGTATCCTTTCTTCCCAAGGTGATTTCAGATTTTCATGTTAATCAACCGTTAATCCTTCCAACATTGTTTCCAAATCCCTCTTCTGATGTTGAGCGCATGCTCCACTCCCTCCATGTTTGTCGTGCCTTAGCATTTTATATTTCCAGGACTAAGAAATGTCGCACTTCTCCCAGACTCTTTGTGTGCTTCCATGGCCCAGAAAAGGGCTCTCCTGCCTCCTCGCTGACAGTCTCAAGGTGGATTGTCTCTGCTATTACTTTAGCTTATGACTTGGCAGGCAAGGCTCTGCCAGCGGTGCCAAAGGCGCACTCCACGAGAGATATGGCAACTTCTACAGCTTGGTGGCATGGCATTGAGGTCCCTGACATCTGTCAAGCGGCCACTTGGTCTACACTCTCGACTTTCGTGATGCATTATCATCTTGATGTCGGGGCCAGGAAGGAAGCAAGTTTTGGGAGAACTGTGCTGACTTCATTGTTGGCGTGACGGCCTTCTGGTAAGTGAGCTTGCCGATCACCCAATTATGTGCATTCACAGAGGCCACAAAGAGGTTACTTACCTGTAACCATAGTTCTTTGAGTGGTCCTGTGAATCCACCCATCCTCCCCACTATCCATCACTTGGTGTTCTGAGCTTGTTGGAGTCAGAGCCTTGACAGTGGTGGACATTCTGGGACTGAGGTGTTATGGGTTGGCGGAGCATGCACGCCACGGGGCAATGTCCTGCTAATTACGTCTTTTTAAGCTCTAGAATATTCCGAGGAGTCCTGCGCAGGCGCAGTGAAACCCATTTGTGTGGATTCACAGAGGACCACTCGTTACAGGTAAGTAACCTCTCTATTTGTGACACACCCACACCCGTTCTACGGACCTTTGGCTGCTGTGTACCATCTGCCTCACCTATAGTTGCAGACACCAGCCACTTCAGATTTTGGCCCTTTGCCTTCTGCATAGTAGCATTGAGCTGGGAATGTGTGCATATCTCCAGAAGTTGGGAAAAAATGGCTTTGGGACTACAAGTTCCAGAATCCCCCCGCCAGCATTTTAGGAGGCAGTGTATTCTAAAAAAATAACTTTTCCAAGCTCTGTATCTGTCGTAATTCTTCCAGGAGGGGTGGTCAGAGAAAGAGCTTTCTCTTAGGTATCATTCCAGTGGTAATAATGATAATGTGCCATTAAGTCAATTCTGACTTACAGCAACTCTTTTCCAGGTTTTCAAGGTACAGAGTACTGTACTCGGAAGTGGTTTAACCATTCCCTTTATCTGGGGGCGCCCTGGGACTGTGCAGCTTGCCCAAGGCCACCCAGGCTGGCTCTGCTTTCAGGAGACACAGAGGGGAAATCAGACTCCCAACTTTTTACTCTGCAGCCAGAAGCCAAAACCCCTGAGCTACCCAGCCAACTGTAAAATGCTCTTTTAAAAAAATGGTTTGCCTGGTCTACCTACCTCTGTTGCCCAGCTGTGACCATTCTTTTTTTTCCTGAGTTTCTTATATACAACCTTAACACTGATTAACACTTAATCATTTTGTAAACTATCCTGGTGGTATGACTGAACAGTATCAAAGTACTTTAAAATTAATAAATGCAGTTTCCATCCATACCAATATCCTGTGAAAATACTGAAACCACTACACAAAAGGGGCACTAATTCTCAGTACCTTGATGGAAAAAAGTCACATCCCGATATAGTCTCACTTACCACTCTTGAAAACATCACTGAACGTCCGGACAAAATAACATCCTAGGTTTCCTATTAGGAACTTTATGTGATGCTGATAAACCATCACCACTCTGTATGCCCTTGATGCTTACTGTGTGAATTGAGTACAATTAACTGCTTTGGGTAAACGTGGAAACCACACAAGACTGACAGGAATTTTTTAAAACTATCCACAATATAATAATAGACATGTGCAAAGCCAAGCTTTAAATGTTTTGTACGTTCCAGTAAGAAATTAATTTTACCATATAGGATTCTTCCAAAAAATTAATCTTTCAACGCTCTTTGAACTAGCTTTACTGTTTCAGGCAAGTATCAAATGGAGTGAGCCTCAAAAGCTTGACTGAGCACGGCTGGCCATAGTGTCTGATTTCTGATGTGGAGCTTCACAACTGTGGTTCATCACTGCCTTTCCTACCATTTTAGAATCCACAGTTTATTTGCTCCTTAGAATTATGGAGTTGGAAGGAGCCTATAAAATCCAACCCCCCTGCTCTGTGCACGAATCCAAATCAAGGCAGATCTGATCGATGGTTGTCCAACTTTCTCTTGAATGCCTCCAGCATTGGAGCGCTCACCACCCTGAGGTGTCATTAGTCTCTTTGTTGTACTGCTCTAGTAGTTTAGAAGTTTTTCATGATATTTAGCCTAAATCTGGCTTCCTGTAGCTTTGAGCCTTTCTTACAGAAAGCTCTTGTGGGTTGGTGCTGACCAGACCAGTGATGAAAACATGTCATGGATAGCGCAGGATATCGGCATGTTCGAGAGCCAGTGTAGCGCACCAAATGTTTAACTTTAGGAGACTGGAACGTCACTAAGGGAGGGGTGAGAATGGTAAGCCATTCTTTGAACATTTCATATTCCTTAAATATAAATGATGTCGTTTATTCGTGACAGACAGCAACAGCATGCTTGGGGAACCATAAAATTTCAAGAAGAAAAAAAAAGTACCTAGGAGAGCATCCAACAGCTTAACAAAACAAAACAAAAACAGGCCAATGCTAAGAAGCCGTTGGACATTGAATCCACAGGTGTACAACACTATTGCCAACTAAAATGCCACAAATGTGTGCAGCCTCTCCAGAATTCTTCACTGAGAAACTTGTGTACAGTTGCAGAGTTGTAGTTAGTTCTGATGAACAGTGTTGCCATTTGTTGAATTTTGTGCCAATGGACCCTATGTTGTTATGTGCCATCATGTCACTTCCAATGTACGACAACCCTATGAATGAACAATCTCCAAAAGAACAATCTGTCCTCAACTTTCCTGCTCAGCTTTTGTAAACTCAAGCCTGTGTCCTCCTTTAGAGTGTCAGTCCAGCTTCCTTTTCATCTTCATCTTTTCCTGCTGCCTTCCACCTTTCCCAGCATTGCTGTGTTACCTTCTCATGATGTGCCCAAAGAAGGATAGCCTTGGTTTCAATATTTTTGCCTCCAGAGATACTTCAAGCTTGACTTGATCTAGGACCCATTTGTTCATCTTTCTGGCAGTCCAGGGTATCAGCAAAGCTCTCATCCCAGCACCCCATT